AAAAGACTACATTATATAAGATTATACTGTGTTTGGCATGCATTAGACTTAAACCATAACTAAAAATTTAAAGTTTTTCTACTTTTAGTATGTGAGTATGTGACCCTTTATAATAAGAAGTAACAAAATGACAAAAAAAAAAAAAAAAAAAAAAAAGTGGTTACGTTAATAAGTTGACCATCTTTTTCACCCTTGTTGACCCTTTTAACTTTTTAACCACCTATTTAGCAATGGGCCCGACAAGAAAACTTAAAATACATATATTTTTTTTTTACGAAATGCAATCATGCTTATTTCGCAAAATATTGATTATTTTTTTCAAAATTTTAAGGTTTTTGACGGTGGAGAAGAACATTGAAAAAGCAATTTTATAATTTGCAAAATGCAAAATTGATGGTTGTTTTGCTAAAAGAGTAAAAAAAATTGTCACTTTGTTAAATGGACCACACCATTTTTGGTCATTTTTGTCGTTAATCAAATTTATTATTATATATGTACAACTTAAAAACATGTTTTTGATTAAAGAATCCGAAAAAGGCATAAACTTTATTAAATTAAAAATGTGAAAAACATACTTGGTACCAGCTACACGAGTGTTAACATGAGTTTTATCTTCAGGGTATAATCTTGCCATTCCAAAATCAGCAATTTTTGGTCTCCATTTTTCATTTAATAAAATATTGCTAGCCTTTATATCTCTATGAATGATGCGATCATGTGAGTCTTCATGAAGATAAAGCAATCCTTGTGCTACACCATTAATTATGGAATATCTTCGCTTCCAATCGAGTACATCTCTCTTTGCAGATTCTAAAACGATAAAATCAAAATACCATTAAAATAAATACTTATCGTTTTGGTAAAGTTTAATGGAAATGACGTATTTGCCCATAATTGTGTTACAAAAGATGGCATTGATTTCTTTCCTAATTCTATCGAACCAAAACACTACCTTAACATACTCTAGAAATCATTTCCATAATTTGGTTTTCGAAATAAGAGCAAATTTATCGATAATTTTCAACCAAATGATAACAAATTTCTTATTTAAGACACATGTAAATGATATAAAGGAGAAGAGAACATACTGAAAAGAAGCTTGTCGAGGCTCTCATTAGCTACGTATTCATACACCAAAAGCTTTTCAGGAAATGCACAATATCCCAATAAGCTTACAACATTTCTATGTTGTATTCTTGCTAATAATTTGGCTTCATTTGTAAATTCCCTTTTTCCTTGTTTTGAGGTTTGCGAAAGTTTCTTCACAGCAATCTCCCTTCCATCATCCAACTTCCCCTATACATCCACACAACCAATTCATTACAATAATCAAAGATTTGATCATTTTGAAAATCTCAAAACCATTGAAGTTAGACTGAAATTACCAAATTGAATCGGTAAGAACCCCTAATTCACTACAATAATTATAGATCGATCATTATCAAAGTCTCAATCATTCATTTAATCATTGAAGTTGAAGAGACACAAGTTACTTGCTTTCGATTTTTTTTGTTCTTTGTTCGAAAGAAATTTCAAAATCGAGTGTTTATCTTCAGACTTCAAATTATGAATTCAATAAATAATTAAGTGAAAGATCGAACCTTGAAAACAGGGCCAAACCCCCCTTGACCAAGCTTATGTTCGAAATTGTTTGTTGCGGAAATTAGGGTTTGAAATGTGAAAATCTTCTGTTCTTGAGGAGCACCAACCTTTTCCGGATATTCTTCTACACCTTCTCATTACCAATTACAAAACCCAGAAAAATTAGCAGACGAAAACACAAATTAATCAAAACCCTTTTGAGGAAACGCCTAAAAATGCAAATCTTGATGCTGGTTTCAAATGGGTATTACGGAATTTTACCTTTGGCATCGGAGTGACAGGGTTTGGTGATTTCGCGAAAGCAGTTCTTGATCTTGATCATACTGTTTACTAATAACTATTGAATGAATAAATGAAATGAAAAAATAATTTGAGATTATGTAGCTTTTTGATCTTTAAAGGCTCATTCTTTCGCATTATTTTAGTCATTGACTTTCACAAATGCCAGCTCGGAGTGTTCAGCAGTTCAAGAATTGACGAAGTGAACACGTTCGACCTTCTTGACTATTTCCACTGTTGGATGCTCACACGCCTAATTACGCCCATTGTTTTTCATATTGTGGTTTGTCTAAAAAAGAACTTCTAAGAAAACTAATACTATTATACACTATTTATAGAATAATTTTAATATTCGATTTGCATTTTCTTTATAGATTGAACATGTAACATCCCTAAATTTTATCTACCAAATTGTTCGATTATTTAAAAATCTAAGTTTAGTAGTACATTTTTGGTAAACTCACATCTCTATACGTCTATCTTGTTAGACATAATATGCAGATGAGTAAATTACATGAATGGTCCTTATGGTTTGGATAATTTATACGTTTGGTCTCTAACTTATTTTTTTTAACTCGGAAGGTCCCTACAGTTTGTTTTTGTTGCACGCTTGGTCCCTATCTTACCTAAAAAGACTATTTTGTTCTTGGTTTTTTAATTTATTCAAATAAGGTGAGATAGGTAAGCTAAGGTAAGGTGAAGTGGAAGTAGGGTTGGGGGAGTGTTTATTTAAATAAATTAAAAAATCAAGGGCAAAATAGTTTTTTTAGGTAAGTCAGGGACCAAGTGTGCAACAAAAACAAACAGTAGGGACTTTCCGAGTTAAAAAACTAAGTTAAGGACCAAACGTACAAATTACCTCAAACCATAGGGACCATTCGTGTAATTTACTCTATGCAGATTGCATATCATTTGCATGGGGTTTGAATCTTCACTATGCCTAGAGGTTGTTTCATTGTTTGCACTCTTCATAGTTCACATTTCACAGGCCTCGACTCTTGAGCACATTGTAGGACTTCTTGAACTTAAGCCCAAAGGTCTTGTCTTGATAGTTAATATCTTCATAGATGATTTGTGTAAGGCCTTTGATTGTTTTACTTTTCTTTCTCAATAATACATTGTTTCTTACATATCATATGTGCTGATTTTTTTCTACGAAGACAATATTTATTGTAATGGTCTAAGACAGATTTACCTTTATCATTCGATCTTAAAATATTACAAATGTAGTCCAAACCTCCATGGGTAAACTATACTAAAAAATAGATGAGTAAGGGAATTTTGTTCAATGATACAAAAAGGTAAAATAGTCAAAGTATGTTAGTTCTAAAATTTGTTAAGGGATTTGATGATGACAGCCTATAATAATTATCCCAATGTAAAAACCAATAATCTATAAGTAACCAAATATATGTATCAATATTAGATTTTGGTAACAAACATGAAACTCTAATCTTATTGTTTTACGAACCTTTTTATGTAGTGTATGGATATTTAGTAAAATATATTTTGGATAACCCGACAAATGGGAGATTCACTTCGAGATTGGATTGCATTTGGACGTGCTTTCATAGGGTCTTCGTCGAATAAGTGATCATGAAGATTGACAATGAATATTTTCATTCTAGTTAAAGATTTTTCAAGATTGAATATCATCTCCGGAAGCATGCCAAAGCATCATTATTCATACCACACATAATTCCATAAACTATTTAAGTATTTATTGAAGTTTTTAAGTATAGTTACTAATACAAAAATGGGAAATTGTTATAAAATCGTAATGGAAATTTTTTATATCAATTATCAAAGTTCATTATAATGTGTTATGATTTTTGAAAAAAGAAATATTTATGAGTGTTGTTAAGGTTTCACATTTTATTTATAAAATAGTGATTTTTATAAACGATGGAAGTTTTATAAAAAGTTTGTCCGGAATATTTTGGGAATAAATTTTAACTGAATCCATGATCTTAAAAGTCAAAAGGCCTATTTTGGTGTAAATATATCATCCAATTGACTAAAAGTTATGTAGAAATACTGCCGAATGTGATATAGTTAACTGAATTTGGACTATTTTGGTAAACTCGATCAACCAAAAATCATATACTGTAAAATATTATATTGTGACTCGGTACAACTTTGGTAGGATATATTCCAATCTCTTGCTCATTTTTCAGTTGAGAACCTTTCGGAAATAGTACTTTAAGCTATAAAACTTTTGGTTTTTCAACTTCTATAATCTCTATCATATCACCACTAACCCGGATGATTCTATATCTTGTTTTTGGTGCGACTCCATTCAACGATATTATAGATATGTTGGTGAGAGAATGGCAATGCTCCCTTGGTGGGAGATCCTTGCTCCTAAATGCGCTAGTATGGTTCTTTTGGGGAGTTGTTGAATGTGACAATGTGCATGACAGGTGGTCATATACATCCACCAAGGTTGAAGGTTCTAGAAACAACTCAATGATTTGTTGGTTCCATTTAGAGCTTAATTTTGACCCATCAGAATTAAGGTATCCACATGTTTGCCTATAAATTGGGACGCCCATCTCCATCAACAGTTGTGAGTGTGATTGCAAGATATGTGTGTATGAGTGCAGCGATTTCAAGAGAACAATCAATGTGAGGTTGAAAGCGTATCTTTTAGAGTATTTTGTTAGCAAGAGAGATTTCTTTTGTTTGAAAGCTCAAGTGAGGTGCAAAATTTGTGAGTGATTGTAATTGTTTTGAAATTTTAATAAATCCTCTCTCTCTCTCTCTCTCTCTCTCTCTCTCTCTACGTAGGTTACATTGACTGAATAATGTTAAATATGGTGTTCAGTTCTACAATTTTCGAATACTGTTTTTTTCATAAGTTTATTATGTGTGTTTTATAGAAATCGTTTATTGTTTTTCTGAAGTTGTTTAACTTGTTTTGTTGATTCCTAACAAACTGGTATCAAAACTATGGCTGAAGATGAGTCCCCCTATGGTGAACAAAAATATGGACCCTACAGCAAATAACATGGGTGTTTTGTGCCCCTCCTTACGTTACTTTAATTCGATGGGGAGGATGGGAGTAAGGAGCGGGTACGGGAGCTTGACGTGGTAAGTTAAGCTCGACAAATTCGAATATCACGATTTCGGATTCTAAATAATACAAATCGAAGACTATCTATACCAAGATTAATCCATTAGAAAATTGATATGACAAAAGTTAATGAGACAACGAGTTAAGTCGTTAACCGATCCAATTGCGCATGAAGCATAACGTAACTATTGTTTTGTTTTAATTTAGCAATAAATTTACGAAAAAAAAGCACCAAAGAGAATACGATAAGAAAACCAAATAAAATAAAAGGAAAGTGTCATCGTATCTTGTCAATTGTTATTATATACTGTAATAAATATCTCTATCTCTATATAGAATAAAACAATAGTATTTTTAAATAAGTATATTTTAAAAGTCTTAAAACCACGTCAGTTTTATGAGGTAAGAACGAAGAACATAAAACTGTCTCTTGCCAATTTCCATTTATGATTTATCTTATTTCACCTTGTTGTGTTCTTTTTTGACTTTTTTTCCTACATCTTCATGTACATTAAAAAAAATCTGTTTTTTTTTCGTTGCTTTTGTCTTAAATTGAATACAACTGAACATCAGTTTCAAATAAAATTAAGTAATATTTTTGTCAAGATAAAACGGCTAAATCATCGTGTCATATTTCTCAGTTTGCCATTTCATTAGATTTTTATTTTTTGAACCACAAAAAAAAAAAGAAAAGAAAAGAAAAGAAAAGAAAAGAAAGATATTTGATTAGATATTAAGGTTTATTGTGATTTCGGCTTCTCTAGTTAAATTTATTAAAATTAGCTAAGATTTTTGATCATTAATTATCTATAGTAAAATATATGACAATTGAGTTTTAAGTCAATAAATATATTATTACTTTTTTTTTTGTATTTTTTCTCTAAACAACGGAAACACATGAAAATGGAATCTTTAAAGAATGAAATTCAACGGAATAATGACGTAATCCAAAAAAGTAAAAGGTGTTTTATGTTGAAATATCTATATATAAGTCAATCAAATGTTAAAAACAACCAGTTCCAATGTTAGCAATGGATGCACGCCTTCTTATATTACTATAAAAATAGTTGAAAAAAAAATATTATATAAATGGTCAATGTAGTTAGTCTCCATAATATTTTTTGTTGATTATATTTTTTGGACATGATCTTTATAGAGAAATTAAATATCATTCTACATTTTAGTTTATTATCTTTCTACCATATCAATTGTTGACATGTGTCATATTTAATGACTAATTTAATGAAAATGATAATATTTTAGCCCATTTATTACCATTTAATGTGGGTAGGAACTAGGAAGATAAAATATAGGAATATTTTTAATTTTTTACTTGGTTGGTCTCTATTATTTTATCTCTATTTATTTTTTTATTACCTTTTATTTTTCTATTGTGTAATTTAAAATAACATGTCCCTTCATAAATTCTTTTTCCAGCTTTATCTATCCATCGATCGTTGTTTTTTTTTGTAAATAACGTTCATATACAGTGCTTAATCACTTGAAACAAAGCCCAACCAAAAATGGACAAACTTAAAATAAGGAGAATAATATTTGAAACATAACCCAAATCATAACATTTTATCCAAAAATGTCATATTCGGAACTTAAAACTCTTTAAACCACCACAAAACAAGTTCAATCGAATCTAGATGATGTTAGTGGATACGCCGAGGAATGTAATTTTAAGAATTTTGAGGTTTACAAGGTAATATTTCATAGTAGAAACTAAAAGAGAACTTAAAATTGGAGAAATTATTTGAAAAGTTAGGTTGTGTTTGCGCGTCACAAATATACCTTTAATTAAATATAAAACATACACGCAGCGGAAACACACTATCACACACACACAAACTCACGAAAATAAAGCAAGAAGAACACAAGGATTTTACGTGGTTCGGATTCGGTGCAAATCCTACATCCACGGGCTGCAACTAGAGAATTTTATTAAAACTCACAAGATTACAATTGGCTTGACACTCTACACTTGATGTTCTCTCAAGTTTTTGCACACAAAATATGCAAAACATACATGCATATATATAGGTGAGAGAGCCGCAATTTGCACATGAAATTGAGTCGTCGTAACAATAGTACTCAAATGTGAAAACCGCAAATGTTGAGTCGTCGTAACAATAGTACTCAAATGTGAAAGCCGCAAATGTTGAGTCGTCGTAACAATAGTACTCAAATGTGAAAGCCGCATGTTTTCAACCTT